ACCCTTGACGCTCGAAGAACAAGCGCTCCAAGCGCTGCTGCAAGGCGATGCCCCGCGGGAGACAGAGGAAGAGCGTCTCCGCCGTGAGCTCGTCATCGACATGAAGGCGGATGCCGACCGGGCCACACCCGCGACGGAGGATGAAACGTTCAAGCGGGACCTCACTGCTATGCCCACCGAGGTACGTCGCGGTCCTCTCCCCCTTCTCTCTCCCGCCGCTGACCTACGTTCCACCCCAAAGTCAACAATGGACGACTACGCCGCTATCCCCGTATCCGCCTTTGGCGAAGCCATGGCCCGCGGTATGGGCTGGAACCCCGGCGCCACCACCGGCACCAAGATCCACGAGCCCAAGATGCGGCCCGCTCTCCTCGGACTTGGGGCCACTGCGCTCCAAGCGCCCGTGCCGCCTAGCCGCGCGGGGTCATCCGCGGGGAAGAAGAAGGGCCCGAATAAGAAGGAGGGGATGAAGTATGTCATGGCGGGGGCGATGGTGAAGCGCGAGAGGGAGGGGAGCGCGAGTGCGAGCACGGGGGCGAGTGGGACGGCGACGCCGCGAGACTCCAGGCGCGGTAGCCCCGCAAGCGACGGCAAGCGGCGGAGGGACGACGACTCTGGGCGCGAGAGCAAGCGCCGGGACAGAGACGATGGGCGTGATAGGGAGAGGGACCGCGACCGTGACCGCGACAGGGACCGGGACCGCTACAGGGAGAGAGAGTACGAGACGGAGGAAGAGCGGGCTAGGCGGAAAGCCAAGGAGAGGGAGAGGAGGGATCGCTATGATGACCAGGATAGGGCGAGGGGTGGTGAGAGGGATAGGTCTGATCGCGATAGGCGAGATGACAGGGACCGTAGAGACCGCGGGGACCGGGGAGATAGAGATAGAGAGAGGGACCGAGACAGGAGGGACAGGGACGAGAGGGGTCGTGATGGAGACAGGGAGAGGAGGCGATGAGCCGTATCCCATTGTAGCCATGTAATCTTGCACTGCGAATGCTGCGACGTATACATCATGTTATATGCTTCTACTACACCACCCTCTCAAGCGTCCACCTCCATCCCATCCCCATTAATCTCCTCCATCTCCCCAAACATCATGCCACTCGTCTCCTTTGCATACTGCGCGCTCCTCTCCACATCGCTGAAATACTTGTACGCGAGCCGCACGTCCTCAACATCCACCGCCGGGGTCTTCCTCCGTTGAGCGAGGAGGCTCGAAGGGGCGATGAGGTTGAGCGCGTAGCGCAGAGAAGTCTGGATGCCCATCGTGGCGAGGAGGTCCTGCGCTGCAGGGGTAAGGCGCACATCTTCCTCCTCGGCCCTACACATTCTTTTTGTTAGCGAATGTCATGCGCTGGGAATGCGGATTGACTCACCTGATCTTGACAATCTCCCGCATCTCATCCTCATCATACTTCTTTGTCGAGATGATCAACATCCGATCCAGCAGATCCGCGGGAATCCCATGCGGGCTCTTGTACTTGGTCCCGCGTATTCTCGTGATACCGCGGTTTGACGCCATGACTACCAGCGGGGCGAGCTCGTTCTCCATCGCCCGGTTGAGGAACGAGAAGCACTCGATATCGAGCATGTGGACCTCGTCGATGAACAGCACCTGTAACGGGCGTCAGTTAAGAGCTCCTAATTTGGCAGCATTCGAAAACTAACCCCAGGGACGATCTCCGCCTTCCCCTCTTCTCTCCACTCGGCAACCTTGGTGTTGATCTGCGCCCGCAACTCGGGCTTGATCTCCCCCGTGTCGCCAGCAAAGAGGGCAAGGAACCCCTGTGTCCGCGAGTTGATGACGTCGATTTCGTGGAGGGAGACTGTGTGCACGACCTCCTTGCGGGTTTGCAGCTCGCCGTCGGGGCACGCGACGAAGCGGGTCTAGTCAAGTCAGCTAGAAGCACCGTGACCGTCGACTTCTCAGCTACTCACGTCCACGCCCATAGCATCGTAGTCCTTGGCCCTCCCGAAACTCCTCCCCAGCTTGGATATCCTCCCGCTAGCCTTGTCGATGCTGACAACGTCCCCCGCCTGGATCTTCTCCTTGGTCAACTGGTCAATCATCTTGGAGCCGAGGTCGTACACCGTCTCCATGTCGGTCGTCTTGAGCGTCAAGCGGCCCGTCTTGGTCGCCTGTATGCGGGGCCTTCGTCAGCGGACTACCGTTGGCGGAAGGCCTGGAAAGAAACGCACGCCGGTGACACTCCGGTCCACTTGTATCTCCACCACCTCACCCTCGATGAGCTCCGTCTCCTCCTTTATCCTCACGCCAATGGCTCGTCGGAACGCCTGCGTCAAAGACTCGGTTTTCGACATCTGTAAGGGGTAGCCAAGCTGTCAGCGAGAGCATAGATGCATTGCAAGCAGACACTCACCTCGAGAGAGAACACCTCGGAGGCGGTGAGCATCACAAACGGCACGTCGCTCCCCAACGTCTGTGTCATCGCTGCATCTCTCATCAGCGTCCTTTCCTTTCCATCTCACCCATACGAGCCTGCCACCCCCAGCTCCCCACTCACCCATCGCCAGCGCTGTCTTTCCCGTACTAGGCGGCCCCGCCATCAAAATTGCCCTCCCCGCAATCCGGCCCTCCTGCACCATCTTGAGGATCACGCCTGCGGCTTTACGGGCCTTGCCCTGGCCGATCATGCCCTGCGAGGAGGCGCGGGGCTCGAGGTTGGCGTCGAGTCCGAGGCCGTGGATGTGCGAGTGGACACCTGTAGGTGAGAGGGGTTAGTCGAGCTGGGAGGTGGAGGGCGCGAGGGCGTACCGATGCGTTCCATCTTTGTGACGTCCCGCATGGAGGTAGACTGGAGGGATATGTTGGCGGCCTGGAGGTCGATGTTAGCTGACACATTAGATGCTGGCCAAAATTCAACTGGCAGCTCACCATGGTGTCCCTTCTCTATGCTTTCTCTGCTGCCTTATTACTTTCCACAGTATAGAAGCAGAGAGTCGTGACTTCATGGACGCTGAACTTCGCGCCTCACCGTAGTACTCAGCGTCATTATCCACCGCGTTATTTTTCCCACTTTTCTCCCAGAATTTCAAGTCCACCCCGCACACCCAACGCGCAGAATTGCATCACCGGCTCCTATCACAGTCAATCAACGCAACAGCAACATGGTCGCAGAGTCTGCAAAGAGCACAAAGAAGTCCGGCAGGACCCCGGAGCAGCAGGCTGCGCGGGATGCCAGGAAAGCAGCCAAGGCTGCCGCCGCTGCCGCTGCCGCTGGCACCAGCGCCGTGACCTCCACCGTCCCCGAAACCGACGCTGCCGCCGAAGCCTCCTCGTCCACCTCCCCTGCAAAGAAGCGCAAGCGCGACTCCCCCACCGACTCCGAGCTCGAAATCGACGTGGCCGCCCCAGCCCCGCTCTCCAAAGCCGAGATCCGCGCCGCACGCAAGGCGGCCAAGCGCGGTGAGACGGCGGCTCCTGCGCCCAAGGCGAGGGAGTACGAGAAGGTCGTGAGGGCGTCCAAGGGGGAGAAGGAACCCCGCGAGGAGAAGGGGAAGGAGATGGATAAGGAGAGGGAGGCGCGGGATGCGCTGGGCGGAGTCGGGACGAAGAGGCAGAATTCAGTGTGGATCGGGAATCTGTCGTTCAAGACGACGCCAGAGTCGCTGAAGGAGTTCTTGGAGAGGGGCGTGACTGGGCTGGGAGGGAAGGGGGAGGGGTCTGTGACGAGGGTGAATTTGCCGAAGAAGGAGGGGAGAGGCGGGTTCTCGGAGAACAAGGGGTGAGTTGAGCGTCACCAGTCGTTTGCGGGAAGCTGACCTCGCGCAGGTTCGCCTACGTCGACTTTGCCACGCCCGAGCTGCAAGCTTTCGGTGTGCAGCTCAGCGAGCGACCTTTCGAGGGCCGTCGTCTTCTAATCAAGAAAGGTATGTCAGCTCTTCCACCTCAACCTGGTACACGAGCTGACATTCGACACAGGCGACGACCACAACCCCACTCCCAACGCGCGCACCCCCAAGCCCATCTCCACCCGTGCCGAGGACATCGGCTCCGCCTCCGGCCGGCCCGAGACCGCCACCCTCTACATGGGCAACCTGCCCTTTGACGCCGAGGAGAAGGAACTCCGTGACTTGGTCGATGAGAACGCCCCTGAGCGGCCGGCGGTGGAGGCCGCGGAGGGTGAGGAGAACGAGGAGGAGTGGATTGGGGAGCGGGGAAGTAAGAAGGCGGGTCTGAAGAAGGTCCGGCTGGCGACGTTCCAGGATACGGGGAGGTGCAAGGGGTGAGCTACCATTCACTCTTCTCCCACGAGGATCGCAGCTGACACAGCATTCTCAGCTTTGCATTCCTCGACTTCATCTCTGCCCGACACGCCAAGGCGGTCCTCGGTAACCGCAAGAACCACTTCCTCAAAGGTCGTCGTCTCACTCTTCAGGTGCGCTTCTTCTCATCCGCCTTCATCAAAAAAAGCCAGCGCTGACCCTCCCACAGTTCGCCTCGGAAGAAGCAGTCAAGCGCAGCGGTGGGAACCGCAACAAGCCCCAATCCGACAAACCCAAGCCCAAGCGCTACTTTGACAATGCAGCGGGCGAATCGGCAGATGCCGGCGCGGAGGAGGGCGAGGACCGCCCTGCGAAACGCCAGAGGGAGGACAAGGACGTGCGCGGGAAGAAGTGGGAGTCAGCAGGTAGGCCTAGGCCGGGTGCGGCGTTGGCGATGGCCAAGAGAGAGAACGTCGCCATTGTGGAGGGCGCGGGGGAGAAGATCACCTTTGATTAGAGCTCAGGCTACTTATTGTGTATGTATGTTCTCATAGTATCGTGCTCTTGTGCACACCGTTGGGAGGAGCGGGAGATAGACAACGACGCATTCCGCTACAGAGACGATGCACAGCAGCACACTGTCCACAAGTCACAACCGCGAGATGTAAACAACCACTTACTTTGAAGGTTAGAAAGTCACAGATTGGTTAGAAAAGAATGAAAAAACGGCAAAAAGGTGCTAAAAACGTTAAGAAAAAGATGCAAAAAGATTCTATCCCATCGCGGGATCGAACCGCGGACCTTTCGCGACTTTGTCCTTACGTAATTGTTTACGTAAGACGTCTGTGAAGCGAACACTCTAACCAACTGAGCCAATGAGATGTTTCGTTGAAATGGGTCAAATTCACTAAACCAAGTCCGGTTGCGTTAACCATCTCTATGTGAGTCTGCGGCTTCACGACAAACTCCAAAGCCAACGCAGCAGCGCTCGCCCAAGAATGATATGCATAATGTGTAGCGGAAGAACAACGTACACATACCGTACCGTCAAGCGAAGCGACACAATAATCCCACAGTTGCGTCCGGGCACCTCTTTGGAGAGGATCGCGCTGCGCTGCCGCCGCTATCGGAGCAAAGGAGCAGAGAGAGCAAGAGGGTTAGTTTGGCGGAGGTGATACATAAGGTACACATGTCATGGGTCCAGACTGGGTGGTCCAGACAGCGTAGAGCACCCAGTGTCCCCTTTTCCCTCTGGAAAACAGGCCTGTCACGGTGCATCGCGCTTGACGACGACGACATCAAGATCATTATCGACGTCGACGCCGGAGGAACATGCATGGCCGAGTGCTTGAATCGATCGGATGTCAACGGTGTGCTCACCACTGACGCCTGACATCACTGTTCCAGCTTCCAGGACTCGCTGCCGAAGAAGCAGAGGACAGCGACGAGCCCTCCTTTGCCGGCTCGGGATTGAGTGTGGGTGGTGACTTCACGGTGGAGCCGACTGATTGTTCCTTCACCGAGACATGCCCTCTTCCGCGAGGCGATGTTGATGATGATGTCTATGTCTGTGCGTACTCGATGCTTACCGCTTGACAGTCGCAGCGGCATTCACGCTTTTACCATTGACATGTCGTGCTCCATCTCCTCCTTCGCCGGTTGCGTGCGCTGACAATTGAAGACCCCTACTACACCACACCGCAGCTCGCAACACACATGGTCCTTCGGGGATCCTGACCGGCTCGGGGACCATCATTTCGTCTTTGCCCGTCATCACGCTGTTCATTGTCGAGCCCATCCCTTGCTGGAATGGAGGCATGACGTCTTGTTGCCAATAGACGGATGAGGAGGGCTGATGCTTGTGCGTGAGTGGACGTCCCGACGATGATGAGCTCGAGGGTGGGGGCGGCGTGGTGTTCGACATCCTTGGGGGTGCTCGAGAAGATGGCATGACGTCGTGCTCGTCTTGGATGATGGAGTGGACGCATGGGACGAGGGGGGTGGTGTGCTCGGGGGTGCTCTGACGCTTGACTATCTCTCCCAGCCAGCATGGAGACCCAAAAAGTATAAGAACTCCCTGCTCCCGACCTCTCCCCCTCCCCCCTCTCTCATCAGCACGCCAACTACTATCCTCCAATAATCCACTCAAACCCCTATAACCAACACACCACCCCCATATAGCCACTATGCTCTTTACCAAGATCGCCCTCCTCGCTCTCCCCTTCATCGGGGCCGCGTTCGCTTCCCCCGTCAAGCCAGTCGACGACGTCGCCAACTTGCTCAAGCGCGACTCTGTGCTTGATGTCGCTAACGCTCTCAAGAGCGCCGTCGTGAGTCCCCCATCTCTGCTCTATCCCCACCCACCAGTTCGAGGACACTGCTCACCCACTTCAACCCCAGGCCGACCCCATCGCGACTCTCAACACCCCCAACGTCTCCCAGGACGATGCCACCTCCGCCCTCACGTCCATCAAGGCCGCCATCGCCAGCGCCACCACTTCTATCGGCACTGCCACCGCTGCCCGCCGCTCCCTCGGTGCCGTCTCTGACGACCTCGCCAAGCGCGACGACCTCAACGAGGTCGGCGAGGTGCTCGCGAACGTGATCGAGGACCTTGTCAAGGCTATCGAGCAGCTTGCGGACGACTTGAAGAGCTTCCCCCTCATTGTGAGTTCCATCTAGACGTGGATACCTTTCTTCGGGTACTTGAGATATGGCTGACCAGGCGGCAACTGCAGGGCGCACTCATCATCGACATCGACGGCGGCTTGCACACCCTCCTCCTCGGCGTCGAGATCGTCCTCAAGGGTGTGATCCAGATCCTCCAGGGCCTCCTCAAGGGCCTCGGCGACCTCCTCTCCAGCCTCGGCAACGGGCTCCTCGCCGGTGAGTACTGCTTCTTTGTGGCTTTGTGGGGCGGTGGCTAATGAGAATTGGCAGGCTTGATCTTGGTCTAAGCTCGTCAGTAGCTTACCTTATCTCCGCCCGAGTGTACCCCACAAGGACAATCTGTAGTTAGCCGTGGTGTCAGAAGAATAGCGCAAAGAAGAAGTCTGTAGCATGTCAGAGAACCTGTAGCGAGATGCAAAGTTGCGCCGAGTACATCCTCCGTGAAGGGCTGATTCGAGACGACGTGGCCGCCGTGCAAGCTCCTGTGCTTGTGATCGATCGATGAGGCGTGCTCTGTTGTATACCGGCTATCGAGCTGCACTCTCTTGTGCATGCCAGTGCGATGTGATGAATGGAGAACAGCCCAGCGAATAAAGGAGCCGAAGAACAAATGAAGATGCGAGATTGGTATTTGCTGGGAGAGAATACGCGAGTTGCGACTTGCCGACCACCCGAGGAGCGCTTGTCAGTTGTCAGTTGTCGGTCACAGTCATCATCATCGTATCTCCCATCTCATTCCACTTCCTCATCGCATCTTCAATCCACTTTGCTCTACTCCACCTCTCTCGCTGCACTCTTATCAACACCCTCCCCATGCTGCACACGCACACCGGCTAAGAACATCACCGCGCCCCCACCGCATCTGCGCATTTGCGCGCCCCTTCCCCCCTCCCCCCACCCCCACCCTACCCCACCCCCACATCGCACCCCCTACACCACATCCAGCGATGTCCTCCTCCCAAGATGACGCCTCCTCCTCCTCCTCCTCCTCCTCCATACCCAAGAGCCAAAAGCCCTTCCCCCACAACCACATCACCATCCCCTCCCAATTCCGCTCCATGACCGCCGGCGCCGGTGCCGGCCTCGTCTCGTCCATCGTGACGTGCCCTCTGGACGTCGTCAAGACGCGCATGCAGGCGCAGGCGATCTCGAAGGGCGCAGCAGACTATGAGAGCGTCGGGGTGATTGTGAAGAATATCTGGGAGTCGCGAGGGTTTAGGGGGTTCTATAGGGGATTGGGGCCGACTCTTGCGGGGTACCTCCCAACGTGGGGGATCTATTTCACGGTGTATGATCTGGTGAAGGATCGGTTGGGAGCATGGGCGGTGGACACAGGTGAGTCCGGGCGCGAGTAGTATGGCTGTGGTGTGTGCTGACGAAGTGTTGGGGCGAACAGATATGCCGATAGCAGGGACATCGGCGGTGCACATTATCGCGGCGATGACGGCGGGCGCTACGGGGACGTGCATGACCAACCCCCTCTGGGTGGTCAAGACCAGATTCATGGTGCGCCCTTCCACACCCCCCTTCCCCTCCTTACCCCTCTCACTGACATTGTGCTCCGACCACAGGCACAAGCAGGCCTCCCAGCAGACCAAGCACGGTACCGGCACACCCTCGAGGCGATCGTGGATATCTACAAGAATGAAGGGCTGGGGGCATTCTACAAGGGCCTGCTACCGTCGTTGATGGGCGTGAGCCACGTAGCGGTGCAGTTCCCTCTATATGAGAAAGCAAAGACTTGGGCAGGTGAGTCTCACCCCGCAGCGTGGCTAGTCTCTGAGACCGAATGAGCGTGGCACACTGACAGGAAGAATTGCGTTAGATTCGTCAAACGGGGACATGTCGGGCGACCACAAATCTCTCTCTCCCTCCACCATATTGGTCTGCTCTGCCTTCTCCAAGATGGTCGCCTCCCTCGCTACCTACCCTCACGAGGTCCTCCGGACGCGGATCCAAATCCGCAAATCTGCCCGACCGTCCTCCTCCACTGCACCTCCGCCCACACATCTAGCCACCTCGGCGACAGCCCCCGGCAAAGCCTCCCTCCCACAAGGCCTCGCAGGCCGGCCAGTCCCCCCACCCAACACCGCCCCTCTATTCATCCCCTCCCCCATCATCGCCGCCGGCATCCCCTCCGGCATCCCCCCTCTCTCCGCCAACCCCGTCCCCGACCCATCCCCTGCCTCCCTCGCCCGCTCTGCCCCCGCCCCCTCACTCGACCTCCCCCGGATATCCGCCCCCAAGCCGCCCTGGCAGTTCTGGCACTCGCCGAAGGAGGGCGGGGTGGTGGATACCTTCTTGTCGATCAAGCGGCAGGACGGGTGGAGGGGGTTTTATAGGGGGCTGTCGATCAATTTGGTTAGGACGGTGCCGAGTAGCGCTGTCACGTTTCTTACGTGAGTTCAGCTCAGAGTGGCCGAGTCTGGATGAGAGCTGACAGATTGTACAGGTACGAACTCATCATGCGTAGATTGTCATTACACTCATGAAAGTGCATTGTATTTGTGATCCGATCCGAAGACGGGCGAAGGTGAACGCTGGAGCAGGCGGCTCGGAGCGGCCCGGGAGACTGGGGGAGGAGTGAAAGCGGGCTTATCTATCTGATTTTAGGGATAGACTGTAGAACATAGAGTCATATCATTGACTTGCATGCTAACTATCAACACCCAGAACCGAGACCCGACCTATGTTTTCTGCTTATCCCAATCGCATTGTCCTGCTCCGCCTTCCCCCTGTCCGCCCAATGCACTGCGCTGACACCACCCGGCTACTGCTTGTACGCCTTGAGGATCCCCTCGGCCACGGCCACAAACGCCATCGCCCCAGGGTCAGGGGGCATGTCCCCCTCCACGTCCCCCACATACGTCGCCCTCCCCAACTTCGCCTGAAGCTTCACCGTCCCCTCCCCACCCTCCCTCGTCGCCTTCACAGCGTCCTCCAAGCTCCCCTTTTCTGCGAGCGTCTCCCCGAAGGGGATCAGCGCGTCCATGACGGTACGGTGGCCGACGCGCGCGGCGGTGCGCGCTTTGAGGGTGTCGAGCGCGGAGGAGGTGATGCGGCCGAAGAATTCGGGGGTGAGGGCGGGTTGGGAGGAGTCAGAGGCGGAGTCGATGAGGGCGGTGGTGAGGCCCGCGAGGAAGATGGAGAAGATGGCGCCGAGGGTGCCGCCCATGGAGCCTGCTGGGTGTCAGCGTCGCGTCAAGGGTAAA